TATACGAGATTCTTCTCGTGGAATGGCAGGACCGGAGAGAGGAGTCGAACGAGCATTAAGCCTGGTTCAGACACGGCCGGTAGTTCAGCCAAGTAGCAGGTAAAGCCGAATTTACACTGTTCGTATTGGAGGATCATTGCGGATGAAACGAGGGAAGCAAGGTATTACGACGAATCATCCGCAGTGATCATCCAGAATGAAACAGTGTAAATTCGGCTTTACCTGCTACTTGACCGAACTACCGGCCGTGTTTGAACGAACCTTTAGCGACGAAGAACGAGTATCGACCATCTTTTCTCTCCCATTCACTCGGTCCGCAACACTATAGGTACGCGAATAACCAACCACGCATCGAGCGTGTTCGAAAAAGACAATAGAGAAGCTCGATGCGACGTAGTGTACCGCTTCGAAGGAAAGAAAGACACCGTGGCCTGCGTCTAATTCCACAGTGACCCTTTCTTTCTCTCGCACGCATCGCTCCCTCTTCTTCCTCTTCTTCCTCTTCTTTTTCTTTTTCTTCCTGTCCTCCATCTCCTTCTCTTCCTGCCGTTTCCTTTCGCGGCTACGATTCGGTATAAGAGCTACCGTGTTTTCAGTGCGTTGAACCGATACCCTAGGCGACTTCTATTTTTACGGAACACCGACCGTTGGAATTCACAGCTTTAAATTCTCGCGGCGCTGTGGCACGCGGATGACATACTAAATCATAGAATTCTATCGAAATCTTCTACGATTCTATCAAATTTCCACGGTGCCACGTAACACGGTTCTACGTAAAGTACCTGTGACATCTTAAATCTAGGAAATATTACGTATGAAAAAAGGCATGCGAAATATCTGCAAGTTAGCGATAGTCACCATTATACGATGCCTAGTCTCGGTAGACTTCCGTTTGAAGCGCGTGACAGGTGATACGCGAAAGTGAGCGACGAGGAGAGAGAATTAGAACAAGCGCCGAGCGTGAGAGAGGGAAAGATAAACGTGGTCGGATGGTCGGTGTCGACGGACCGGCAAACGCGAACACAAACACTTCATAGTAGAACGTAGCGGCGTGGTGAATGAAGCCTGCGGCCTACTGCCCCCTCCCTTTCTCTCCGTACTTCTCCTGTGTTTCGCGTCGACCGTACTTCACCATGTTTCCCCACTCCGTCCCTCGCCGCCTCGTTCACGAGTCGATTGCTTCCCCCTTCCCCTTCAACCCCCTACTTCTCCCCACTATCTGGCCGCCGTGTGTGTGCGCTACTATCCTCCCCACTCCAGTGCATCGCTGCGACCAACAATGTACCCATCTTCCTCGTTCTTCGTTTCACTTGATGCACCGACTACACGCGGCACGCACGCACCGTGGCACAGGGGCGCGGGAAGACCGCGTCGCGACGCATAAAACGGACGGACGACGGATCAAAAGCGCGGCAGATCGTCCGTTTCCGGTACGGCTAATCTGACTGAAATGTTTTTCCAACCGATGACGCGTAATCGCTATCCGAGCGAAGAGCACTCGGTAATCGGTCTTTAAAGCGAATCATCCGTGAGCTCATGGATTTTTTCATGTCGACATTCGTTTGTTCGTTCGATATACACGGAAAAATTCAGACTGCCTATCTCTTTGTATGTTTAGTTTTTCGTTCGTTTTTATTATCCCTGTATTTTTCCCGGGGATTTTTACTTGTTCAGAAACGAACAATCTCGTTTAGCAGCGGTACAAACACGCAGCGAAACGAACCGGTATAACTAACGCGTAATGTTGCTTTATGTATAGCTTGTAGTGTTAATACTTATAAGTGTACTCTCTGTTAACAGTACTCGTTAAGGGTACTCAGTGTTTGTAGTTACTTCCAAAAATATACGAACAATAAATATTCGGATTGATTTATTTATGTTTTTTGTTAGTTTGGTATATTTTTATCAAGTAACTTTAACTGTAGAGTAAATAGAACGATTCGCGTTTCACGATATACTCCTACTGACTGACTTGTCTGTTTGTGTCACACCATCCCCGTCGTATTTGATCAAGAAAGATCTCCGTCGTTAATGGACCACGCTACGATTGTTCCAATAATCCCTGCGAAAAAAGAGATATAACAACAGTCGTGGAAACTTTTCTGGGCATGTTGAATTAATCCACTTACCGGTTAACGTTCGAGTTTGATGTTTAACCATTACAGCGATCTCGAATCCCGGGAACGTTTCATCGTTCCCAGTGAAATATATTCTTCGATTAGCGCGATACGTATCACGGATACGGATAAATAGCGGTATGCGCACGTGTCGAAGCGACGAATCGACATGTGACGGACTACGTCGGCTTTATTTGCATCCCGCGTGGATATTTTAGCTTCCGTCGCGCTATCTCGTCTGTCAGCCTACAAGAGGAAGGCTAGAAGCATTTCGGATGGAATACGCTGCGAAGAGTGGTCATCCGTTATTGTATTTTTCTCGATCGAAAGGCGGGATTTCCTATGAGAAATTATCTTTGTGAGCAAGCTCCGCTTTTTCTAAAAATCTCATAAACTTCGACGAAATTGAAGTACGTATTTATAACACTGTCATTTTTCTAATTTTTTCGGTGGATTTCTATCGAGTATTTATTATTCAAATATATTTTTCCTCCATGAAACGACATGTAAGTCAATTTATTTATGTTTCTCAATAATATTGCATTACAATGTTAAATAGGGCGTTTCACCACCCAGGTATTTTCCTTTGACAACCGAATAAAAGCGTGATTAAAAAGCATCCCCGCAGGCTGCTCCGTGGGACAAGCGTTTCTACATTATGACGAGTTTCGCGATTATGCATACATCTTGGTCGGCGACCCCTTTTACAGATATACGAGTCGTGCGAGTTTGTTCCAGCTCTTCGTTGCGTCGGTTCGTTTCCCGAAGGACCGAAGCCCTCTGCTTTTTCCCACGCGCTCGGGTGTTGTAGAACGATCGATAATAGAGAACAACGTAGAACGTGTTTAAAGCATGTACAATCCAGTTGTTTTCTAGGTCTCTACGCCGCACGGAAGTGCTTGTAAAAGACAGGTATCTCGCTAGTTTTTCTTCTCGCTCCCCATTTTTTTTTTTTACGTTGCAGTGCGTTTCGACGCCGGAACAAACTTCATTCCGACTTTTTTCAATGCCCTGAAAAGTCTCTTACCTATTCTCCGTGGTACACAGAGAAGGAGCATAATCGCTTCTTTTTCCCTACAGTTTACCCGAACTGTTCCTCCGCGTTTTAAAATTTACTTTGTCCTGAGAATAGTCACGCGATCTAGTTTCCCTGCCTTTTTAAAACTCTTGTTAGTGCTACTTCTTTAGCTTGTTTTGGTGTTCACGTACACAGAAAGAGGGGCAGAGAACCGGATAGGTAGATGCTTTAAATGCCAATCGATTTTTCCAGTAGTCTATAACCTGTGATTAATTGGCGACTTTTCCACCCGATGCGGTTTTCTCAGGAACCATCGAAATCCGCATTCCCTTACCCCTTTCGCTGTCTTCTACGCAACCTTTCGGAATAAATGATCGTTCGACCAGATAACACACGCTCGTCTTCAAGATTATAGACACTCTGTATAATTTTGTTGCCGCTGGAAGAAATACGCATCCCATAAAAATCCCGTAAAGACGAAGTGTACGGGAAGTCGAGACGATACTGGGAGAATAAACTTGCGACGAAATGTTAACGCTCTGACAGAAACGATGCTGACGGCGTTACATTCTCAGCCTTACGATACCATCGATTGTCCGATCGCGAAACGAAAATTTCGACACCAGGGTCGACCGACGTTCAATCGATCGAATCGATTTTAAGTGGAAGCTTTCCAGACGAACGAGATGTTAACGATTGACAATCCGATGGGTGGCAACGATCGTTATCGGTCATCGTCGTCGTCGTCATCTTCGTCGTCGTCGTCTGGTTGAACGAAGTGGTAAGAAGCGTATTGGGAGCGGAGAGGACGGGGCAGCGGAGATTTAATGGAGCGGATCGCTCGGTACCAGGGCGCGTGCTACCGCGTATACGGCCCGGCTGACCCCTTCATACGCAATAAATCAATTATCGCTCGTTAGCAAGAAAAATATACCTTCAATCGAATCACGTTACTTAACCCGAGTGTCATGGTAACCAGAACGGTGTTTTGCAAGCACGCGTCCGTAATGCAGTCGTCTTATTTGTCCAAGCTACTTACCGTGTGAATTTCTTACCCCTTTGTCATAAATTACGATTAGGTATCTGCCAAGAGTATTTGCTCGCCGATGATTTGTTCGTCGGTCATTTATACGGTTGGCGCCACGCGATGACGTCTTCATCGAAGAAGTCAGACAAGAAACACGCGAGATTACGTACCATCGTTGATTTCACGCGATTCCTACTCTCGTAAACGATGATATTGTTCGCTGGATGGATGCATGCTGCGGTCGTTTTTTACTTCACGTCAATCTAATTTACGGGTAGAGGACATTGCCATCGTCCGTTCCGTATGATCGACTGTAAACAATTATTCGAGATCGTGAGAATCGCGACTGTTGAATGGACATTCCAAGCCACGGTCCGTGTCCGCGGGAAAGTAGAAAATACCGTGTTAGTCGGCGGTGCTCGCGGATGAGCTGTGCCGTTTCTACGGATAGGCTAATTCTACACAGAGATGTACCTACATCAATCGTTACCGCCCACAAGCATTCGTACATCTGCTGTAATTTCATCTTGAAATAGTTTGATTTTTTTTTATTATATATTACATGTTATAATTTAGACTGACAGATTTTTATGAGTTTGTGGGAAATACAAAGATGTAAAAATATACAAAATGCACATAACATGCAAATATACGTGAAATATCGAAGAATACTACTTGCTACAATATTTAATAGGTTAAACAATTTTCTACTTAGGTTCCCCCTTTTCTAATTAGACACGTAAAAATATGAATTTACTCGCACACATACACATATATATTTATATATCCCCAGTTTAGTTAAAGTACAATAACGTTCCTATACCGGTTCTTCTTTATCTCTTTTCCCATAATTCGAATCAAATGTTGTACTAAATTTAAACTGAAACGAGAGATATACTCGCATCGCTCTAATTCCATGTTTATCTCTAATTCACGACTGACACTTCATAGAATCCATACGAACTTTTAGAACGTGACTAGAAACACTGAATGCTTATCGTGGTACACATATTCCTGTGTGAAACTAGCCATAGAACTCTCGCGCGGACCGTTCCATCGTACAGAAGAGCAAAACAAAGGTTTATCGTTCTTGTCATCGACAAACCGTGTTTTCCTTTCGTTTGATCGAGCAAAACGAGTCTGGAATCAGGAGGTAGACGAACCCGGTTCGATTATTAATTTACGGATCTCTTTCTCGAGAGTCGAACGAATACAAGTCAAAGAGCCGTTCTTCGTTATAGTTGCAAGAGGGTCGACATCGTGAAAACAGAGTGACGATTTCACGGGTCGCTGGAACTAATATTAGATCGTCCCTCTCCAGTTATAAAGCGTAGAACGAGAGGGTATCTGCGCGCGTGGACATCGAGATATCATACGCGTCGGACGGAGAAACGTCTCGCCGGTTGCTGCTTTTAGTTGCTTTCGCGACGACACAAGATGCACGGAGCACCAGAGGGAGAAGCCTCGCGAAACGGTCGGTTCGAACGGGGAATGAGTTTTATCAAAACTCGATGGCCTGAATTCGTAGCGATGAATGACGATGGATGACGTGTTCATTGAAGTATGTTCCTCTATTCTTAGAACAGAGTACGTGGCTAGCTCAGTAGCCAACTCGTTAAGTATTCTACTTTGAGCGAGAGTGCGTCCCGCTTCTAAACTAACGATCCTCGTACCGACCAATCAGACGGTTGAATTTCAAGCTAGAAACAGTCGTAAAAGTAAAAGTACTGTACCGAGCTGGCGAGAATATGTGTCCGATTGACAGTAATGAATTAGATTTACTTCAATCTCGTATGGTCACGTCTACTAATCGAAGGGACCGCTGTAACAAGAAGGCAGCTCCAATTTTTCCATTAATTCGAGTAAACCGACAAATACCAACCCTAATTCGATTCGAATCAAGTCACTCTTACCAATGTGCTTTTACGATCCACTAATATTCTTGCAATTAGTATGGCAAATCCGTGCTGGATTCTATACAAAGGTTCTAGATCTATAGGTTCTTAATTTACGAAACAAATTGTGCGTTCGCAATTGTATTTATTAAGCTTCCTCGTAATAGACATAAAACAACAGAAATAGAAGGTGGAGGTTTAATAAATAACGGAAGAAATATAAGATCTGGTAAATAAAAACCTACCATTGATCTTTAAAACAGTACAAGTAAATCTCTGTAAATAAAATAACATAGTAATAAAAAAGACTGATACTAGTTGCATAGATAGAGTGTGGAAAGAGGCGTGACGAAGTGAAAGGGCAGCTAGGGCAACGTAAACCCTGGACATCGTTGAGAGCGACGCTGTGGGCGGCGGTCCAACGAAAAGGGTCCTGTGTATAGGGCTTCGCGTAATGAAAAGCACCGTTTGGCCGCTCTACAGCGGCGAATTTCGCAAACAAACATTCCTGGACGATGATGCTCTATCCTACGCGTCCTCGCGAATATTGCTCGCCGACACACGCCGAGCGGACGAGCTTTGTGCGCCCTCAAATCGGCCGCGAGCTGCCACAGTTACAACAGCCGCACAACTTTCCAATTTTAATTGGATTTATAGCCTCCGGGATCCGTCGATCTTCTCGCCTGACGCATCCGCGTTTTTCGTGTCTCATAGCGGAAGCCTTTTGTAACAAGAGCAACGAGATGGATTTTTCAATTTTACCCTATCCATCTCCCTTAAAGTTCTACCAGTGGAAATTATTTACGAAACGGATTAAAAAGATAAACGTTGACTCGAGAAAATCTAGCACGACGTTGAACGGACCCAAGAACAACGTTTCTCCGTCGTTTCCTAAAGTGATCGTAATTATGTCGTGGAAATAGCTTCGCTTCGCGTCGTGCACCCTTCACGTTTCATTTACGCTTTTCCAAGCTAAAATCTGAAACGTTCAATTTCCCACGTCAAACATTTCCACGAATAATTGAGATGTGAAAGTACTTTTATTCATCTAAATTGTACAATACGTTATGCTGAATGGGAGAATACGTATTACGTCGAGTGTGACATGGAATATATTTAGTTGCCAGCCCAATAGTTTCGGGGATTTCGTTACGGCCATGCCAAAAGATATGGTTTCGAGAAAAATGTAAGAAACGTTTTAAGACGACATTTTTCCCGGATGGAAAAAGATCTTGTAACTTTACTGTCGATCAAGTGCTCATTGTTCGTACCGCATATCACGTATGATACGAGAAACTTGAATTACCTACATTTGAAGAAACTACATTTTCTTATCTGAAGCAAACAATTCCTCGATTGTCTCTTTATGAATTGCTCTGGCACGATACTCTATGTAAAAATTCGAAGAAAATTAAGAAGAAACTATTAGCGAGGTGTGCCCTTTTAACCTCCGTCGAAATAAAATATCTCTCGTTAGAGTCAAGCGACTTTTAATTGGACCATGTTACGTAAAAACCTCGATCATGCGAAATCGAATAAATTTAGTTTGAAGATTTTTATTCTTAAGGAAGAGTAGCTTTATTTCTATTAGGTATATTTCATTTCTTTTCGTTTTCTTACAGTGTTTTTCAATGGCTTATCCAATAACGAGTAGTATAATTAATATTATTTTAAATTTCTGTAGTTTCTGACAGTAGGTATTATTCGACAATTACAGCTTCAGAATCATCCGCGTCAAAGTCGAGACATTTTACGTTGAAGCCTTCTTTGTCTTCGATAAGTCTATTGTCACTGTTTAATTTATCATAAAAATTTAAACGATCTGCTGGGAACAAGGTGTTTCGTTTCTTGTAAAGTTTTAAGCTTTGCGTTTGATATAAGTTTACATTTGACATTGGTAGATCCGTCAAAATATCCATAATGTTGATTTATTATTTCATATTTTCAATTTATTATTTATTATTTCAAGAGAATTGGAGAGTTCATTTTGCTTAAGCATAACCAAATGATTTGGAAGTTTTCTGCGAGATAATTACAAACCTAAAATGGAGCTGTACCTTGGTAGTTTCAATCATTTTATTGCGTAGTAGTTGTTCTATGAATTAACAATTTCTTGCAAAATAAAGAACACGATATTGACACATTAGACACATAAGAAAAAGGCTTCTGTCTGGTACGTTACCTTTAAAAACTAACTAACATGGTGAGTGACATCCCATGGATAGAATTATCCGAAGCTATCCAACTTTTATGTCGATATTCTGGACTTTTGTTTCGATTCTTCAATTTCTTTTAAGCGTAAGCTTCAAATTTACGTTACGCAAGTGAATAACACAGCTAATCCTGCATCTCCCGTTTCATTTTTTTAATTCTATTCGTATAAGAAATATCCGTGTCTAGCAATGAACGTAATGTAAAATGTATTATCGGGCTATACTGGTGAATAATAATAATAATAATAATAATACGCGATAATGACATGGAATCCATACTAGATTTAATTAGTTTTTTAGAATTTTGAGGATCGATAACTTTCTGCGTAATATAGCCGAATAAATAATAAACAATATCCTTTATACCTATACGCCCGATAAACAATAACCTTTTCATTCGCAGATACTCTGGTTTAAAAAACATCGAATTTAATCCACGTTAATTTTCGAGTCGATCGATGAACACGTTACAAAAAACCGTAATTATACCAGATTACATATACATATACGTTGAATGTAGCGAGGTCGGAGAAAAATTGGCTCGTAAATAGTTCTTCATCGTGGTGGACGAGCGCAGTGAAGGGCATGCGTTAGCCAGACGGTGGCCGATTAAATCGCGTCCGCCCTCCGGGTTAAATATTGACGTTTTCCTACATAAAATTCATGCGAACATTTATTTCCTGATATGTATTTACCTTGTCCGCCAAGTACATCGGGTTCCGGTTAAATATCATCGCCCAGCGGCTGTTTATTCAATCGAACCTTCTACGAGGAAATCGGGCGAATTCAAACGTATATGATAAAATGCGTGCACAAAAGACGATATTTAATCGATACCTGTAACCAGTCGTATAATTCATACGTTATAATTCTCTGATTGCAGGATATTAATTGATGGGAATATCGGCGGAGAAACAGGACGCGAAGACGATTCGCATATGTCGACGGAAGTGTTAAGCAGCGGAGGTTGAAAGTGTTCTCGTAAAGGAGAGAGAAAATCGACTGTGTACTGTGAGACGAGTGGCGAGGTCCTGTGGTTTGATTCATTAAAGTCAACTTGGATCGAAGTCGAAATCGATGGCGCCATTCAACCCAACTAGTCATCGATGTTATTTCTTCATAGTAAGGGACTGACACCTCATCCTCATCCTCGATACAGGATTGAGCCCGAACAACTGTACAACAGCGCGAGGAGAGATGTCTCTTCTACCATCGATCGCAGGAATCTCCAATTGGTCCTGAGTCTCGTCGATCTTCCTCGAATCTTCATCCACCGCATCTTCGATTCTTCTTCGAGTAAGAAAAAAAGAAAAGAAACACGTCCATCGAGAAATCTTCAAGAAGAACCAGAAGACTGGATCGAGTTCGAGGAAGATGAACGACAAGATAGCGAGAGAGAGAGAGCCGTTTGAGTCAGTGTAGGCGAAAGACGGCAGAGAAGAATATCGAATCCTGTTCTTCGAAGGTCCGTCTTCGAAGTGACGATTATCCAGAAAATTTTTTGCCCATCATCTGCGAGAAATCCAAACATGGAGCCGTTAACGTGGTGCACGCGCAGGCTCGGTGGTAGCGTAGCGGCGTCCGAGGAGTCGACGATCGCCGTGACTCTCGCGAAGGTTGCCGCCACGACCTCCTCCCGTCTCTCGACCAACGCTAACCCTGTCAACGATTGTTCTTCCACCACGACCTGGATCTGCGGAACCACCTGCCGTCTGACTGACACTAGCGAAGATGCGAACAGTGTCCTCCGTCATTGTCACTGTTGGTCAAGCAGTGCTACACCAGGACACGACGGACCGCCACTTTCTCTCTTCTTGCCGAATCGCCAAAATCAAAGCAACGTTTGCGATCTCTGCGAGCGTCTTCGTGGACGAAGCTGCGATTATTCCACGCTAGACGAGAAAAGCACGGAAGGACGTTTCGATCGAATAACAAGACGCGGGCAACGACAAGTGGTGAATCGTGACGTAAATCACACGATGATTTCCTCCAAGATATCACAGCGCGACAGGTTGGTGTCTGACGCTTCTTCGACCAGCTACGTCTCCAGCGTCGTACGGTGGAGTTTAAGGCCGGAGAGATCGTTTCGCTGGACCAGGCAGAAGCATGCGTTAGCCTGGACGATTTTGTTCCTATTGGTACTCGTGCCCTCCACTTCCGCGAACCTGCAAAAGGGAATGTCAAGAGGTTCCTCCAAAGAAGAGGGAGGTGAGTTCGATCAGTTACGTCTGTATCTACCGTTCGTCGCTCGGGAGATGACATTTGAGACGGCACATGGCAAGAGGAGTACGCTCGGTTAATGCGTTGCCTGTAACATCTGAAACTCATTTTTTCGACTCTCGTGTGCAAACATATCAGACGATGGTTATAAAATATTCAATTTCATTATTCGATCGAATTAAAAGGAAAGCTCAGAATTATGTTACGTTAATTAAGGAAAAACGAATGAACAGGCTGACGAAAGTTCTCGAATTCTTGTAGGCGGCTTTTATGAACGTATTATGTGTTATACAGAATATTCTGAAATTCATACCGTACGCTAATTTTGTTTATTCGGTACATGTGCGCGATAAATATCTTGTAATTTGTGCGTGTTTACAATTATACGTGATTCGTACATTTGTATGTTTTTACATTCCGTACGGTACATTTTTCGATTGGTTTTAAATTCGATCAGTACAATCGTGACAGTCTGATTACAGTGCTAATAAAATTTCAAAATGTTTCGTATAACATGCCATATCGACGTAAAAGTGTCCTGTGCTAACTGTTCAAATACTTTCCTGAACCGGTGTATCTCTCGAGTATAGCTACTATCGTATAAAATTCTCAAATGAGTTTCAAGGAAGTGAAAACGTGTATGTTAACGAACGATTTCTCTCTCTTTCGATCGGTGTTTTTTTCCGGATTGCTCCCTCTGGAATGCTTGGCAACCGGAAAACTGATAATGAACTGGGACAACAAACACAGTCGGTAATCGAATTTCGAATCCATGCTGCGCATTAATTACATTTGGCACAGTTTTAACGTTGGCTTAATGATATTACAGTTGGTCGATGCGACGCGCGAAATATCGCTGGCAATTCCGCTTAATTCGTTTCGATGAACAGAACATCGGAGTATGAAACAGGATTTAAAAGAACACCGATAAAACTTGCATGCATACTTAGTGCTTTTCCCATTCTCGCTTCTTTAACGACCCTATTTTAGTCCGATAACGTAGCGAAGATCGATCACTCCGTAAACAATCAAAATATATACGTAGAGTGATGCAGTGTTCCCTGGATCATCGTAACGTCTTCTGCCATGTATTTTTATATTAATCGTATTTCCACCGTTTTATCACTATATTTTCTTACGTTCAATGTTTACAATTGTTGGATTTGGCGGTTGGTTACTGAAAAAGAGAACGAAACATTTTTGCTCCACGTTGTACGTTTATGATAACGATTACGAATAGATAGAAATTGTTCCAATTACATAAACTCGATACAAATACTGTTTTATATTATTTAGACTATGCAGTATATATTAACCCTTTGAAAATTGATTTCTTTCTATCGTTTGAGAAAGGATACAGAAGCAAATAATTTCTTTTTATTAGTTATCGATAATGAAAACATTTTTTACTGGCGATTTTGTAGAGAAAATATAACGCGTTGAAATACGAGATCAGTTTTATCGAACGCAAATATATTTATCGTCTAGTTCATTAGCATAACAACTTCTTAAAGCACAATGTATATGGAACATCGGGTGTAAAAGGATTGTGCAAAATTGTAACATGAAACGAACCAAATCATATTGCGTTGAAACCCGTTCTCATTGAAAAAATGCCATCTATATACGCCAATGTAATAACCACAAATATATTATACAACGGAAAACAGAAAATTCATTAGCTCTGCTAAACGAGGGAACCGTGAGCTATAAAGGTGAATATTCATATTCATAAATACGGCAATATGCTTGAGGACATGCAGACAACTTTCCTTATCCCGGATTATTGTAATTTCTCAGCTCGAAAGCCAGTTATAATGATCCGAGGAATACTGTATAGGAAAGCAAACGACGCTCGGAATAATCACACATTTGTCTCAGCGTCTCCGAGTTGTAGATCGCTATTTTCTAGACCAGAAATTCTTTAACTCTTCTAACTATCGTAACAATCTGCATCCTTTTCGTAGACTATTCGACAACTTACGTTTGTAACTGCTTTCGATATACCCATTCATCAAAGCAATTGAAAGCAGTAGCAACGATACTTTGCTTTGCTTTTCTAAGTTCGAAGAAACATCGGTGAAACCTGAGGGTACGGTCGTACAAGTGCATCGCCAGCACGACCGTATTTTATGAAGGCAGAAACCCTCGCCTCCCAGCTGTTTGTAAATCCGCTCGAAAATATTGACCGCGTCTATTCGGCGTGCGCGCATCAACCGAACGTCCGCGCGAATGCAAATATTAATTAATTGCCGACCAAATTGCAGCTCGGATATCAGGTTCGTTGATTTTTCCGCGTCGTCGATGATCAAGCCATCATACATGTAGGTACATAACCGTTCATAAGTATTATGACATTTAAAGATCACACGGCAGTAATACGACAAGTGTATTTTTGATGATTTTTAAACTTTCACGTTAGTCGATAATAAAAGAAAGAAAACAAATTTAAACCGCTTGAAAATTTAACACTGAAAAAAAGTAACGAATTTAAGCTTAGCTGTTATGTTACTTTTGAATTCAATTCGGATAAAGCATCCACATATTCGATGTTACAATAATACTGCTGTCAATGTGATATAACAAAAATTAATTCTTCTTTTGTCTATATACACCTGTCGCGTCTTTATCATATTTCTTATTATCTGGCTGCACGAATGCTACAGATGATTTTACAATGCAGATTTAGATTCTCGATAGATTTCTTGGAGTCTCAGAATTCACATTCAATTTCTTTGATAAGACAGTTTCGAAAACTGTGATGCTGTCGACAGATTATTAGTACGATTTACTATATTTACGATATGCATGTTGGATTGCAAACATAAAGCGCGAATATAAAATTCTGCTCGATTAATCATTTCTTTATTATTTTCGATTCGTTGTCACGTTTCCTATAAAATCAGCAAGTGTCTTAATACGCATGCACGGGAATGTATATCGGGTTATCACATTCCGCGTTTTTCACCTCGTCGATCGATACTCCTCTTCCTGTTGCTCGAACAAAGTATTTCAACGACTCGAGAACTGGTCTTTCCGAATCGTTACTTCGAATCGGGTTAATAAGTCATCAGACGGAGTGAATTGTCAAGCGGAAGATAGGGATTAATAGTAGACACCACTGAAGTCACTAAATGCTTCGTAATGGACAGATTTTCGACCTACTTTGCATTTTTGCGACAAGAAGCTGGTGTAATTAATTTGCTGCCCATAAATATTTGGACCCCTTTGTATTATTATCGAAGATGAAACGTATTATAAAATATACGCATATTGCTCAATATTATTCGTGAAATCTTACATGTTCCAGGTCACAAATTACTATAGTTTTAACCAGTTATTTCGCACAATAGTAACAAATTCTACGTATCGATCTTAGCAATTGCGATCGCACATGATAATTACACATTCGATATTTTTGCAATGTCGAAAAGGGCGAGAAAAATGTATGTTTAGTCTGAGAATCAAACGAAGAGATAGTTTTGACACGGAGAACATATTGAATTTGAAATTTGCCCTTTTATGAGATGATAGAGGATGGCTTGCAAGTAAATTTTCTGACGCACGATTGACTGAATATCTTCATTGGCGATGGTGGAAAAAATGTGAAAGAAGAGACGAAGAGCGTGGGTTAACTGTACGTCATGGTGCTTTGGTATTTCATCGCACAAAAGTAAAACCTTTTTCATTTTCGACGAGATTAATTTCCCTTTTCTCTATAGACTCACGGTAGACTTTAAATCAGAATAAATTACTTTTGTGTTGGAAAGTTGCTTCGACTCTTTGTAAAGTGAGAATCGTGTTCCTCGGCCAGATTCAACAAAAGGACTCGTCCTTTTGAAACAATTCGCACTGTTTCCCAAGAGTTACATCATCCCAGCATTAATATCTTTGATATCATTAATTCATATCTTTAATTTATCAGAGGAACGATACTGGCCGGTATTATCGACCGTTTCATAATATTACAGAAATAATATACGTTTGCGCAACTTAATCATTATACAGAATCGATTCGTTCGCATTTTCGTAAAATCTCTACTTCAAAGCGGTTCATTTCAACGCGTGATGTTGTAATGGAGGGAATATTCGTTCCAGGTTTATTACGCTCGTATATGTATAAGTGAATAACGCTCGCATATATTCGACCTGAAACGTCAAAAATGATAAATCTTTTCTTCAGCGAAATTGTTTCTTGGATGAAGGATATTTATTTTGGATATTTATTTTTGTAATTTGTAACACTTTTATATAATACAATAATGACGTTATATTTTACGATCGTTAATGTAATGCACGGACGGAAGGCGATTCTTTTCATTAACGCGATAAACACAATTCATAATTAATCTAAAAATATTAAAATGTATAAAATATCTGATACATTTTACAATATGCTACCCATACATAATTGGTACGATACATATTATAAAATTGAATATTAATGTAATACTCTGTTTCTCTTTTTGTATTTAAATGTTTGACGTTGACTATTTTCCGTGTATCAATATACATACTATATATGATGTTTTCCATTCAGATATTTCATTTTATTATAACTTTTTAATAAAGTTTCAAACGGTGTGTGTGTGTATATAATATTTCTCTTTTCTCTTATTTATTTCCATAGAATATTCTGCCAAACTTTAATCGAGAAAACCTGCAACACCATACATATATAAGTAAAATGCAAAGTGAGCAGACTTTATCTCACAGTATCATTAATATATGGTCATGGCTCAAAAATTTAGGTTACCTTATTTAATGAGGGAACTTGAATTTTTTTAACGAGAGAAACGCGAACAAGCATGTTTGAGCTTTTATATAATTTTAAATTAATATATAACGGAGGAAAAGGTTCGGTTATGATTATTTTATAGGTATTTTTCGTATTAATGTTTCGACATCTCGAGGGAAATTCCAATTATTCAACGAGAACAAACAAAGTATTATAATGTATTAAATAATTTCATGAATTAAATAGATTA